ATCTATCTATCTATCTATCTATCTATCTATATCTATCTGTCTATATGTTATTAGTGGTCAGATGGTGATGTAGCACTTCATGTCCAAAAACCTTCCTGAGTGTGACAGGCATGTAAGTGCCCATGACCCAAGCTGAAGCTGGGGGTACATTGCAGCATCAGGACCCTGTTAGGGTGCTTTCTCTTTCTCTCTCTGTCTTTTTTCTTTGTGGAGGAAGTAAGTAAACTTTGAAAATAAAAGAAGCTATTAGCTTTATCTATCTTTCCACCCATCCATGCATGGATCTCTCTATGCATCTTTTTATTGATTGGCTTATCTATAGAGATAAGTATAAAGAAGAAAAAAACTGGGACCAGCAGTTGATGTAATGACTATGTCACTGGACTCCGATGTGGTCAAATGCGGTTCGAGTCCCAGACCTGGTGGCTTAAACTCATGCCGGGCGCATGTGTGCGTGCGTGCCCAAGATCCCAAGAGGAGAAGGGAGGAGAAGGGATTGTGGTGTGGCCATCCCCCTGGGGGCTGATTTCTTGCTTTCTGTCTCTTTGTCTTTCTTTGTCTTTCCGGCGAGCCCAACAACAAAAAACCGCCCCCCCCCCAAAAAAAAAAAAAAGAAAAAAAGAAAAAAAAAGGAAGAAAAAAACAACTTCTAATTCCCACCTCCCAGAGAACCCTTGCATGTACATGCCTAGAAAATACAATTTCATAAAGATACACAATAAAAATGGAAAGTCTCCTGGCTCGGTTTCTTTCCTGAAAGCAATTCAAGCATATACATCTACATATGCAAATGTTTGTAAAACACACACTCTTCTGCACCTTCCTCCCTCCTTACTTAGCAAGCCTGGGAGTTTTCTGGAGCACGTTCTGTATTATTAGCACCAGGTCTACCTCATTCTTTTGCCAGGACTACGCAAGAGTTCATAGTATGTGATTGTATCATCGTTTATTTAACCAGTTGTGGATATTTAGGCTGTTACCAGTTTTGACTATTGCCATCAAAGCTACAAACCAATATCACTGTGTAAACAGCTTGGTGACCTTTGGGACACATATCCAGAAGGTACTTAGGTGGTGGAGGGATGGCAGAGACAAAAGGTAGATATTTTTAATACATCGATAGATAGTGTCCGACTGCCTTCCAGAAAACTTGTACTGACAGTGTATGAGAGTGCCCTTTTCTCCACATACTCACTAGCACTGGGTATCAGCAAAGTCTTTAAACTTTGCCCATCTGATAGGGAAACATGGTATTCTATGATTGCTTTATTTGCATCTCTTTAAGGATGAAGAGCATTTTTTCACAGATGTATGGACCATTTGTGTTGATTTTAGTGAACCGGCATGTCCTTTGTTTGTATTTTTCTGTCTTGATTGTTTTTATCTTATTTTGTAAATGCTCATGACAAGGACCCAGCATGTGGCATGGTGGTTGAGGTTCTGGACTCCCACATGGCTGACTGCAACTCGAGTCCTGCTCCTAGTGGCTTCATTTCTCTCTCTCTCTCTCTCTTTCTTTTTCTTAATAAAGGTTTTTGCTATAGGGCGCATGTGCTTGCCAGACAGACAGAGACAGAGAGACAGAAAGCAAGAAATCACCCCCCCAGGTGGGATGGCCACACGGCAATCCCTTCTCTTCCATTCTCCTCTGAGGATCTTGGGCACACACTCACATGCGCCTGGCGTGAGTTTTAAGCCACCGGGTCCGGGACACAGACCGCATTCAACTACATGGGATTCCAGCGACATAGCCATTATGCCAACTGCTGGTCCCTCCCTCTCTCTCTCTTTTTAAAGGATTATTTTATTTAACTTTATTTTATTTTAATTTCACCGGAGAGGGACACAGTGAGAGAGAGAGATGGAAAGTGAGAAAGCAAGCTGCCAGGTCTGGGACTCTAACTGCATTTGGCCATGGGGGAGTCCAGCGTCCTTAACCACCATGTCTCCTGTCGGCCCAGCCTTTCTCTCTCTGTCTCTCTGATTAAATTTTAAAAATAATAAATAAAATAATTATAAAAAAACTCATGGGAAAATAAAGAAATGCATCCTTCGTCATAAATACAACACTCGTTATTCATCTCTTTACTTTGTTTATGGCATTCTTTCCATATTCATGTTTTCTATTTAATTTAGTCAGACTTCTTAATCTCTTTATTCATGGCTTCTGGGGCTGTCTATAAAGGCCTTTTACTACCCTAGAATTAGAAATGAATTCATTGTATAGACTTTTTCCCCACAGATCTTTTATGGTTTTATTGTTCACCTTAAAACTTAGGTCTATCTGGAATTTTATATAGGTGGAACAGTGAGGTTATTCAGTTTAATTCCCCCCCGAATAATTAGCCATTTGTTCTGTCTGCCCATTTATGGAATAATCTCCTTCACACTGATTTGAAACATCAGCTTTATTGTAAACTAAACTCCCATATCATTGATGGGAATTGGAGGGTTTGTTCTTAAACTATTCTATTCACTGTTACGCTGTTTTAATTATAGGAGTTTGGGTTAAAATCTGATAGGGCTAGTTTCTCTGATCGATCTTCTCTTTCCAGAATTTGCCTAGTTATCTTTGTATGTTTGGATTTTTTTTTTTGAGAGGTTTTACCTATAGGGCATGTGCATTCACTTGCCAGAGAGACAGAGAGACAGAAAGCAAGAAATCACCCCCAGGGGGGATGGCCACACCGCAATCCCTTCTCCTCCATTCTCCTCTCGGGATCTTGGGCACGCACGCACACACGCCTGGCATGAATTTAAGCCACCGGGTCTGGGACTCGAACCGCGGTCGACTACGTGGGAGTTCAGTGACATAGCCATTATGCTAACTGCTGGTCCCCTTTGCATGTTTATTTTTATAGATAAACTTGACTATCATTTTTGCGAAGTTACAAAAGTATCCAATTAGCATTGAAATTGCGATTGTCTTGAATTTATAGATTAATTTAAGGAGAAATGACATCTTCCCAAGACTGAGGTTTCCTTCCAGAGAGTACCATTTACTTCAATCTTTTTGGTGTCCTCGTAAAGACTATCTCTATGTAAGTCTTTTGAAGTTTGCATCCAGGTATTTATCTTGCCGATTACTGTTACATCGAATCTTTTATGTTTTATCTTTTCACTGGACGAACTCTCCTGGTGATTATTACGTGCACTGAGAGCCAGTGATTTAAGGCATGATACTGATTCACCTGAGCTGCAGTGGGGCTTGGGCGTTGGCATTTCCAGAAACAAAAAAGAGCTCTCCAGATGATTCTAATGTGCACAGCAGTTTGAGAAACTGATTTATGAACTTCCTATAGAGCTAAGGAAGACACTGGATAATTCCATGCCCACACATTAAATGCCCTTCTCCTTTGCCCTTCCTCCCTGTCTGCACGCCCCGTTCAGCCCCAGGTCACTGCCACGCTGCCCACACCTCCAGCCCGTCTAGGTAGCGCTTTACCTTGGTCTTTGCCTCTACCACCAGGGCCACATCTTCAATACGGATCCCAAATTCTCCATCCTTATAGTAACCAGGTTCTGGGAGACACAGAGATGCTCAGGCTTCCTGTACCAGTGGATGAGGGGCCGAGGACCCACTGCCTGGCTGCCCCCTGGCTGTGGGCTCTGGCAGCCCCATGACTTATTAGCTGCCCACTGGCTAAGCAGAGGCCACTTGTCAGGTGTCAGGTTCTCCACAGGCACACCTGTGAGGGCTTGAGGTTAGGGTGGGGCAGGACATCTGGGAGCTGGGTGTAGGGGTGGGAATGGGAGGAGAGGGAAGGCCCTGGGAATAGAGGTGAGAGTGGGAGGTGAGGCAGGGCCCTGGGAGTAGGGGCAGCAGTGGGAGGTGAGGGAGGGCCCTGGCAGAGCTCAGGCTGTGCCTGTGGCTGGTGTGCTTCCAGAAAGGCTGGCCTCCCCTAGACTCCAGGATGGGATGGTAGGGTGGAGGGGCGCACGAGCCCTACCAATGGAAGTGAACATGCCCTTGGTCATGTCAATGTTGTTGTACTGGAATCCTACTGGCCCTGGAAAAGAAGATAGGGGCATGGTGTCAGCTCTCCTGGACACACCAGCTTGGAAAGGAGCAGGTGCAGGGAGGGGCAGGTAGCTAGGACCCCTAGGCATCACTCGCGGCACTGGTCCATGCGGGCCCAGTACGTCCCAGACTGGCTCTGGCTTTTTTGCTCTTGAGAGATACTTTTGCTATAGGGTCCATGCCCTCACCAGATGGAGAGAGACAGTGAGACAGAAAGCGAGAAATCACCCCCCAGGGGGGATGGCCACGCTGCAATCCCTTCTCCTCCATTCTCCTCTCGGGATCTTGGGCACGCACGCACACGTGCTGGCATGAGTTTCAAGTTGCCGAGTCTGAGATTCAAACCGTGGTCAGCCATGTGGGAGTCCAGAGATATAACCATGATGCTACCTGCTGGCCCCACAGCTCCGGCTTTTATTTCTGTAGGGGTCTACGCTAGAGAGCCACCTGGCCTCGATCTTCTTTCTGATGCCCTCCTGGATGCCCAGCTGGCCAGCTGCCGGCAGTCCTCACTTACCTGTGGAGCATCACCCCCACCGCCCGGGTGACCTTGGGTGGGTCCTGGTACCTCTGTGGGTCTCAGTCATTTCCATACCTGTGAAATGCCCTACCTCCTTCATAGGGGTGTCACACAAGGGGGGACCCCGAGGCAGTGCTGAGGAGATACCTACACTCATGCACACACAGGAAGTTGCCAATGCCATGACCTGTCCCATGACCATAATTGAGCCCAATCTCCCACAAGGCTCTGCGGGCAAAGGCCTCCACCTCTATCCCTGGAAGAGAAAAGAGATTGCCCCCCATCAGTTGGCTGGACCCCAGACTACCTGCCTGGCCCCTTCCTGCTCAACTGCAGGGCAGTGCCTGAGAAGAGGAGCCCCTGACAGGCAGGTAAGCATGCAGTGCTGGTTGGGAGGAGAGAGGTGTTGGATGAAGACAGTGGATCCCTGGCTGGTCAGCTGCCCACTGTCTGCAGCACGCCATACGCCGTGCCCATTACGGGACTGGCGAGCCCATTACACAATTTCCCTCCATCCTTAGTGCTTCGACACCTACTACATCCTGAAATCTCTCATGATTGCTGCAGACTACACTGAGCCCTCCCCCCACCACTGAGCGACAGCAGCAGATTAGAAGGCATTGGTGATGGGTTAAAGGCCTGGCTCTACCACTAGGCCTCTTTATGACCTTGGGCAAGTTGCCTTCTCTCTCTAGGCTGCATTTTCTTTTCTTTTTTTTTTCTTTCTTTTTTGCTATTGGGCATGTGTGCTCACCAGAGAGACAGAGTGAGAGAAAGTGAGAAAGCATCCCCTAGGGAGGATGGTCACGCTGCAATCCCTTCTCCTCCATTCTCCTCTCAGGATCTTGGGCACGCACGCACTCGTGCTTGGTGTGAGTTTCAAGTTGCCGGGTCTGGTACTTGAACTGCGGTTGGCTATGTGGGGATCCAGTACCTTAACCACTAAGCCACCTGCTGGCCCCTAGGCTAGATTCTTTTATCTCTACAGGGAGGGTATGATAGAATCTCTACCTCAGCAGACTCGCAGGGTGGAGGTTTGAGTCCTGGGAGATCAGAGCCTGAGGCTCTGGGTCCAGCCTGGCTCCTGAAGCCTACCTGATATATTGGCAGGAAAGATGAGCCTGGAGAGATCGATGTTACCCATCAACACGCGGGTGTATGCCTCCTGAGGGGGAGAGGAAGAGGTGATGTGGAGGACCCAGCAGGAGCCGGGAGAGCTCTCAGCAGCTCAGCCCGTGGGCCTGCAGTCTGGGACTGGGCCTGTGTGTGCTGGCAGGGCCGGGAGGAGTGTTCTCGTGTCTGGTCACCCAGACTGTGGAAGACGGCCACCGGAAGCTGAGCGGGACCTTCCCAGTGCTGGAACTTGATTTGCATGGTTCTCTCTGGTTCATCCCCAGGGGTCATGATAATGTGGTGAGGACACCTTTGGCAACCATGGTGAGCTGAGGCTGTGACAGTGGGGGTGGCAGGTGACTCCTGCACTGGAGTCCTGACTTGGCCATTCACAGACCCGAAGACCTTGAGCACGCCAGTTTCACCTCAGCGCACCTCAGCTTCCTCATCTGTAATGAGGTGATAACAGTTCCGGGCTCGTAAGGTTGTTGGGGGAGTAGACTATGAATGAACCTGAGGCTTTGAGTAAATGCTCAAATAAATGTTTGCACTTTTATTACTGTGATGGTGACCATCCTTTCGTTTTTCGTTTCCTTTCCTTTCTTTCTTTCTTTTTTTTGGCTGTAGGGCACATGTACTTGCCAGAGAGAGGGCAAATGAGAAATCACTGCACAGCGGGGATGGCCACAGTACAATACCCCTCTCCTCCAGTCTCATCTAGGGATGTTTGGCCATGCACACACACCCACACCCATGTGATAGTGATATTCAGGCCACTGGATCTGGGACTCGAACTGGGCAGCTGGCCATGTGGGATCCAGTGCCTTAACCTCCACACTACCTGCTGGCCCCGTCCTTTCATTTTCTTAAGGCCTGAGGTTTGGGTTGGGGCCCCGACCATTTGGCAGGTAGCCTTCGTCTGTCAGGGGAGGCAGGTGGGCTGAAGGTGGCCACTTCTGGCCACTCCCAGTGGCAATGAGGTCCACCCCCCTCGCCTCACACACACATACTTGCCTTCTGGCCC